TGGTCCGCATTCTAAAATCTTAGTCCGAACCTTAACATAGTTGTCCGGACCTTGAAATTGTAGTCCCAACCTTAAAATAGTAGTCCGAACCCTAGAATAATAGCTCGAATCCGAAAATTGTAGTCCAAATCCCAAAATAACAGTCCGAACCCTAAAATAGTAATCCGAACCCTCAAATAATAGTCCGATCCCTAAAAGAGTAGCCCGAAGCTGAAAATAGTAGTCCGATCCTTGAAATAATTGTCCGAGTACAAAAATAGTAGTCCGGGCCCTAAACTAATAGTTCGAACCCTAAAATAGTGTCGGAAACCTAAAATAGTTGCTGAATCCTAAAACAGTAGTCTGAACATAGTAGTCCGAATCCTAAAAAGATACCTGGACTTAAAATAAGTAGTAGTCCGAACCCTAAAATAGTAACCCCGAACAATAAATACTGGTCCGAACTCTGAAATAACAGTCCGAACCCGAAAATGGTATCTCGAACTCTAGAATACTAGTTCGAACTAACAAAATTGTCCCCCGAACCCGAAAACAATAGTTTGCGGTTTCGTTCAGGGTTTCGGCAATCCGAATGCTAAAATGGGAACCTGAACTAGGATAGAAGGGTCATGTTGAATAGAAACTGTTGAACGAACCTATATGTTGATGTATATTCTTCACGTTATGGGATACTCTGGGTCGGTGGGTGTGATATCAAAGCCATAAACAGCACTCTTACTGTATAGCTAATCGAGCCGCAGCCGCTGAACCCTAAAATCCTAAAACCTGAACCTTAAACCCCTAAAGCGCTAAACCCGAAACCCCTAAAGCGCCAAACCCGAAACCCTCAAGCGCTAAGCTCCAAAATCCTAACACCCTAAAGCCCTAAACCCTAAACCCATATAGCCCTAAACCCCAAATCCCCAATGCGCTAAACCCGAAACCCTAAAACCCTGAACCCCAAACCCCCAAAACAAAACCCTAAACCCTAAACCCTAAACCCCTAAAGTGCTAAACCCTAAAACCCTAAATGCCTAAACCATAAACCTTAAAGCCCTAAATCCTAAAACCCTAAAGCCCTAAAACCCCTAAAGCCCTAAACCCCCAAAACCCTAAACCCCTAAAGCCCTAAACCCCTAAAACCCCTAAAGCCATGAAACCCTGAACCCTTTATAGATCCATGTGAAGGAACTCTCATAGAACCTTTATACTTAAAGGATCATGGGACTTAGTAACTGTTTTAAACAAGGCAACTATATTTATGAATACTTATCACCCCAATGAAGGTACTTATAACCTTACTTACTAAGTCCCATGATCCTCCAAGTAGAGCCTAAACCCTAAACCCCATAGACCCCTTTAAGGATCCCTATAGATCCCTTTAAGGAGCCCTTGAAGAACCCTTAAAGGAACCCTAAGCCCTAGATCCCTTCAAGGGGCTCTGGATCCGACAGCCCCGAGGACCAAGTCGCCGACGACCTCGGCTGCACTCCTTGTCCCGCAGGCCCCGTACTGCTTTAGTTAAGGGATCATGGGACTTAGTAAGGGTTCTTCAAGGGCTCCTTAACGGGATCTATAGGGTTCCTTAAAGGGATCTATGGGGTTTAGGGTTTAGGGTCTAGTTAAAGGATCATGGGGCTTAGTGGGTTAGTAAGGGTTCTTAAAGGGCTCCTTTAAAGGGTCTATAGGGTTCCTGGTACTGCTTTAAGCTTTGCTTAAACGATCATGAGGTTCAGGGTTTAGGGGTTTAGGAGTTTAGGGTTTAGAGTTTAAGAGTTTCGGGTTTAGGGTTTAGCAGTTTAGGGTTTAGGGTTTAGCAGTTTAGGGGTTTAGGGTATAGGGGTTTCGGGTTTAGGGTAACTATGTAAAGGATCATGGGACTTAGTAAGTAGGTTATAATTGGGGTTATAAGTCCCCGAAGTGGGGTTATCCTATTTATAACACACTTCTAACGTTACTAAGTCCCATGAGCCTTTAAGTAGACCCTAAACCCCAAACCCCATAGATCCCTTTAAGTAACCCTATAGATCCCTTTAAGGAGCCCTTGAAGAACCCTTACGAAGTCCCATGGGCCCTTTACTCTTATAGCCGGGACTCGAGGGCGTTAGGACTTTGGGGTTTAGACGCAAATGGCCAGTGCCCGGCGGCTCCAAAATCCTCAAGTAAGGATTTACCGTAATTTTTGGAGGGATCCCTATCACGATTTAAGGTATATAATTGAAGCGTTTTTGGAGTCTCTGAATGGTACCAGCGGGCCGTCGATAATTGGTACGATACTGGCAGGAGTGCACCCAAGAAGCTTCGCCCATGGCAACAATGGATCAGTGGAACCGGCATTGGGGCCATTATGCAACAGTGGAATGTATCACATCTTCAAAGGTTTGTGGCACTAAAACCTCCAAGCCCTAACCCGGGCATGACAGCATTTGGCCCACCAGCACTCAGAGCCCATTCTGCCCTTGTGGGTTCCTGGGCTCCAGGTTCAGGCTTCACTACAAGGTTTAGGGTTTAGGGTTTAGGCTTTAGGCTTTAGGGCTTAGGCTTTAGGGCTTTAGGCTTTAGGGCAGTGCTCCCAAGAAACCAATAAATAGATGAATACGAAACGAATACACGTGTCAAAATTATGGTCCCTGGTTGGGTCCGTATTCTAAGACGGCACCTAATATTTCGAGTACCCAACAAGGGGCCATAAAATAGCAACCACCCGTATAATATGCAATTAGTGTTATTTTACAATACACCCCCCCAAAAAAAAACAAAAAGCCAAGGTCTCCTGAGGAATTGTTTTCTCAAATTTTCTTCATATAAAAAACCCAAGAGAATAGTAAACCATACTATTTTCGTTATGGTTCGAAGGGGGCTATAGAAAACCCTACTGCAACACCCCAGACCCGGAAGCTTCCACCTTTCGGTTTCACGCTCAAGCACTTGGGCATTCTGGGCCGGGGGGGTTTAGGCCTAAACCCTAAACCCCTAAACCCTAAACCCTAAACCCTAAACCCCTGGACCCTAAGCAGTTTCTTTGGTTGGGGGAGGGGTGCTTAAGAGACGAGGTTTCCTTTAAGGGTACTATGTGGGGTCGTTAGGGTTTAGGGTTTGGGTTCTCTTGGGTTTGGGGTTCAAGGGCATCAAGTGTGGCTTTAAGGGTATCAGTGCCTAATTAGGGTTGTGGCTTTCAGGGTATAGTGCTGATACCTGGATATGTTTGGCAGGGTTTCATTGTTCTCCGGGCTATGTGTTCCTTCGTGTTTTGAGGTCTTGACTGAACGAAATCGGCAAGTTTACGGTTGCTCTAGCTTTGAGCTTATGCCCTAAACCCTAAGCCCTGCACCTTAGACCACCAAGTCCGAAACCCTACATGTCGAGAGTCCGGCTTCTCCGAAACCAATGGGGCAGGAGTGTATCTTTCAAATCTGGGATGGGGGTAACTTCAACTATTTTACAGTCCTTACATCGTTAGGTATGTTACTTGTTCTGATTCTGAAGGCTCCGAGATCAAGGGGTTTCGGCTGAACCACTTGAGACTTTTACACCCAAAACTAGGACCCAGAGTAGGCCCGTTCTCTTATAACACCCTTTAACCCGAAAGGGGCACCCTTTTTTACTCCTGGCTTAATTGTGTCTAGAAAATCTTGGGAGTTCCTGCCCGATGTCAGGCCAGACGACGTATCAGCAGCTCGGTTTACCGTCAGGGTTCGGGGCTTTCAGAAAAAGCCTTTCGGTTCTGTGTCCCGAAACCCCAACCCCTAAAGCCCTAAACCCCTAAAGCCCTAAACCCCTAAAGCCCTAAACCCCTAAACCATTAACCCCTAAACCCCTAAAGCCCTAAACCCCTAAACCCCTAAAGCCCTAAACCCCTAAACCCCTAAAGCCCTAAAGCCCTAAACCCCTAAAGCCCTAAACCCCTAAACCCCTAAAGCCCTGAAGCCCTAAAGCCCTGAAGCCCTAAACCCCTAAACCCCTAAAGCCTTAAATCCCTAAAGCCCTTAAGCCCTAAACCTCTAGGATTGACTTCTAGGTTCCTGAGTAGTACCCTTTTGCCCTTTTTATTGTGGCGCCCCCTTATTAAAACTCAATACTAAGAAAAAGGGTACCCTTATCATTTGGGGGTCACTCAGGAACCTAGACTTGGAGACTTGGAGGTTCAGTGTGATTCACGGGGTCGGACGCTAAGTGGGGGTATCGAGTCATTACCCAGAGGGTCCATATACAAGGGCCCGGAGCTAAACGGGCCTAACTCTTGAGGAGCTTGAAACCAGTTCAGGGCTTTAAGGTTTCGGGGTTAGGGTTTAGGACTTGCAAGTGAAACTTCGAACACGCTAAGTGGGGTTATCGAGCAATTATGGAGTGACCAGACGTATTTGGGGGTGGTTGTCAAAATGATGGTCCCTTTCTGGGTATCCTAAATAATAGGTGCCGTATTAAAATAAAGGACCCAAAAAGGGACCTTAATTTTGACAACCACTCGTTTATGAAGTCTGAAGATCCTCGGATGGAGTTTCAGATGATAGCGGACCTTACGGTCTGAGGTTTAGGATTCAGGGTTTAAAGGGAACTCCAGAAAGTTGGAATATGGATTAATGGTAGGATCCCCTATAATTTACCTTAAATGGGTTGCGATAATGATAATCCAACTTTCTGGCTTCCAGTATAGGGTTTAGGGCCTTAATACTCATTTTGGAAAGAGCCGACCCAGTACACCGGGGTAGCACCGCGAAATCTCAACTTCAAGTCTCCAACGCGAGACTCGCATACGAACAAAGCTCCAGAGCCCCGTTTATTTAGGAGCATACCTGAAATCTGAATGTGGCGAGGCTTGCCCGTGCATGACGGATGCAAACCAAGGTCGCACGCGCAGCTACATGTATACACATGCAGTCGGTGTTTACAAAAAGCACAAGTGCCGCGCACATACACATGCAAACATGTGCTTGCAGTAGAGAGAGGTAAAGGAAGAGACGCAATGGATCTGAACTTTCCCGTAGAGATATTGAGGGCCCTAGCGATACTTCCGCTGAGTCATGATGCGATATCATTGCAAGGCTGGCGCTTGGGAATCCGCAGCCAGAGGTTCATAGCTTCAGATCCTGCAAAATCCGACTCCTCGATAGGCGTGTGCAGCTGCATCCACGATGCAGCTCGGCATAAGGTGGCGTCTCAGGGCACGTCATGGTGTCTGTTTAGAGCATTGTGGCAGCTTCGAAAGTCTTTGAAGTTTGCCAAGTCCAAGGAGAGCCCTCCTTGCTTTCATCCTCAGCACAGTGCCGCAGCTCGCTTGGGCGACCCGCAACCAGTTTGCCAAAGTCCAGGAGGAGGCAGCCTCCATGTACGTCGACGGCTTGGTGCCCTTTCCAGGTGACATGATCTCCGGCGTCAAAGAATACGACTGTGTCCGCTTCGGCAACGGTGTCTACGACAAGGAATCCGGCCAATGCTTCATTCCAGGGGCTACAATGACTCGTGTGGTTTCATGCGACCATCAGTCAGACTGCATGGGTCCTGATACTAGGTACATCGCCGCCAAGTGGTTTTGCTACTACCCGCACAAGTTCACCAGCATCACTCCGGCCCGATATCAGTCTGATTGCCTCGATGGAATCTTCACTAGATGCGGTGGTGGCAAGTGCTTGAGGAAGTGAAGAGTGAACAGGGCCAACGTCATTGCTGCTGCGGAAGGAAAACCTGTTGCTGACATGCATGCCGTCCCCGTCACTATACCTTACAAAGAAGCTCGAACTCCCACCCAGGCCCTTCAACCCCAATCCCAAAGCCCGAAATGCACATCTACACTTCCGAGGCAGGGAACGCTCGGCTGGCTTTTGGTTTTTTTTTTCTGAAGGGGCAGCCGGAGAGCACCGGGAGTTGCGGGCTTTGTGGGAGGGGCATCCGAACTGCGTTGGAGTGTGAGCGGTAGATCCGTTGGATTCGCTGCTGAATAGGGATCCCCCTATATTGTGAGGTAACCATGTATATTCCTTACTTGAGGGGTTTTGGAGTCTCTGGGTGGTTTTGCAGAACCCCAGTGCCCCGCCTGAAGGAAATTCTGTTCTTTGCTAGGCCAGGAAGGGCTGTCAGTATTTGCGCATCCCAAAGAGCCGAAGGAGCACGTGCGCAGGTGCATCTTGGATTGTGTTGGCGTCCATGTACTGGGAGATGTGTAGTTTCTACATAGCCAACTAGAGACGAAGTTTAGGTGCCTTTTGTCAAAGCGAAACCCATAATGCTTCCAGCCCCTAAACCCTAAACCGTAAGCGCCACAGCCGGGAATCTGCCAACCCCAATACACTGAAGCCCCACGTAGACCTTGGGTTTAGGGTTTAGGGTTAAGCTGTCAGCCCAACGTACACCCGCAATCTCAGATCCCTATATGGCCCTGAACTCTATGTCGTCCCGAAAACCTTCAAACTTAACAGAAAAATCTCGAGCGCCCAGACCCTACACCCTGCATATCAAAACTTACACCCCCAAAACCCGAAGCCCTCAAATTTAGACCTTAAGCCCCAAACCCTAAACCCCAAAACCCGAAACCTTAAACCCTAAACCTTGAACCCTGAACCCTAACCCTTAGAAACCCCAACCCCCTAGCCTCTTTTTTCAAGGACGGGCGCGGTCGAGGAGGCAGCTTGCACGAGTTCCACCGGGAGCATCCTCCGCTCGGCCATGGCTCCTCGCTGCTGAGGGGTTTAGAGGTTTGGGAAAGGGGTCAGAGGTTGGGAATTTTCAGAGAAAGGGGGTCTAGGGTTTAGGGGTTTAATTTTTTGGGTGGGTTTCGGGGTTTAGGGTTTAGGGGTTGATTTTTTTTGGTTTAGGGGCTGTTGAGGGGTTTGGGGGCTTAGGGGGATTGAGGATAAATCCTAGGGTTCCTTTGAAGGATCTATAAGGGTACCTGTAAGGGGTTCCTTTGAGGGATCTATAGGGTTTTAGGGTATAGGGTTTAAGTTGATGATATAAACCGAGCATTACCTGAAGGGGTTTAGGGGCTTGGGGTGTTGAGGGGTTTAGGAGTTTAGGGTTTAGGGTTTAGGGGTTCAGGGTTTAGGGGTTTAGGGGTGTAGAGGTTTAGGGGTTTCGGGTTTAGGGGTCTCGGGTTTAGGGGTTGAGAGGTTTAGGGGTTTAGGGTTTAGGGTTTTTAGGGTTTTGGAATTTAGGGGTTTGGGGGTTGAGGGGTTTAGGGGCTGGTTGAGGGGGGGTTCCTGTAAGGGATCTATAGGGTTTTAGGTTTTAGGGTTTAAGTTGATGATATGAATCCTGCATTACCTTAAGGGGTTTAGGGGCCTGGGGTGTTGAGGGGTTTAGGAGTTTAGGGTTTAGGGTTTAGGGGTTCAGGGTTTAGGGGTTTAGGGGTGTAGAGGTTTAGGGGTTTGGGGCTCCCTAAAGGGTTCCTTCAAGGAATCTATAGCGGTTCTACAAGAGGGGTTTCAGGGTTGCTTCAAGGATCCTGGTTGAGGGGTTTGTGGTTTAGGGGTTTAAGGGTTTAGGGGTTTAGGGGTTGAGGGGTTTGGGGGTTGAGGGGTTGAGGGGTTGAGGGCTTTAGGGTTTAGGGTTTAGGGGTTTAGGGGTTTGGGGATCTAGGGGTCCAGGTGTTTAGGGGTGCTACTCTTCAGGTTGTCACACCAATCAAAGTAGCATAGTTCCACCACCATCATCATTCTCATAATATGAATAGTCATGAGAACAATGATGCTAGTAAGGATGGCGCTCTTGCAGCACTTACGATGAAGATGCCAGCGTAGGGGGGCTCTCGTGTAATCGGCGTTTGTTCCGGTGGTTCTCCAACCCTCAGAAACTACAAGAGCAAGCCGTTTGCGAAATTCTAGGTCTGAGGTCAGGTTTTTCTTTTCTCTTACTGGGCAGAGTGCATGTTGAGCTTAGTACTAGAGTAAGTTGCCTCAAGCCCTTCCTGGGGTAGTACAATCTCCCAGAAAGCAAACGTTTTGCCCCCCCGAACAAGTAAGTCGTGCATCGCGGATTGTCGGGTGCAATCGTGCGCCAGACCCTATCCCTAACCCTAAGCCTCAAAGCCTTAAGCCTCAACACAAAACCCTAAAATAAACCCTAAACCCCTAACTCCTAACCGTGCTCATGGGGCCTTCGCATTGGTAGCCGTTTGGGGATGTAGGAACCGGGCTTGTATGGTCGTTGCAGTCCACAACAAAGCCAACAGAGTCGAAGGCAGATAGTCTCCAGAAGTAGTTTACCTATCAGCTCCATCGTAGCTCCTTTTGCTAGTGATAGATTAGGCAACCTTCAACCGAGAGCAGGCCTATCTATATAACTAAGGCCCCTAACCGGTTTGGGGTTTAGGGTTCAGGGTTTAGGGACGAAGCCGTACTACGCCCTACTAAACCCTTGTAAACCCTACTTAACCCCACCAAAGCCACTAAATCCTACTACACCTTTTAGACCTTACTAAACCCCAAGCCTCTACCCTAAGACACGGCCCAAGACCCCTAAACTCTAACTCCTAAACCCTACTTCCAAAGCCCCAAAGACCAGGCTTTTAGGGGCTTAGAGTTTCGTGGGACTTCCTAGGACCTAGAGCAGGCCTGTACTCCCTTTTGTTTTTGGGTTCAGGTCCCTTTTACCCAAAAAGGGCACCCTTTTTAATCCCTAGGCTACGCTTAGGTGTAGACTAACCCTAAGCCCTAAACCCAAAATCCCAAACCTTAAACACTAAACCCTAAACCCTAGACCCTAAACCCTAAACCCCAAACCCTACTCGTAGGTCTAGTCGCTAAAGCCCCGAAAGACCAGGCTGTGGGGCCTTAGGGTTTCTTAGGGCTTTGTAGGGTTTAGGGCCTTCGGGTTTCTTAGGGCCTCTAAGGGTTTAGGGCCTTAGGGTTTCTTAGGGCTTCTTAGGGTTTAGGGTTTCGGGTTTAGGGTTTGGCTCTAGGTTTCTTAGGTTTAGGGCGCGGGACTTCGGGTCTTTGGTTTCAGTTAGCGGTTCAAGCCTCCGCCTTAGCGGTTCGGTCGAGTCGGTGACCGAAACCGTTCATATAGACCCAGATCTTCCAAAGTCCTTTTAGGGGTTAGGGTTTAGGGCTTAGGGTTCAGGGTTTAAGTAAGTCAGGGATGGAATTCTACAGCTATATCATGTTAATATACCGCTATACCATCTTAAAGTCTTAGGGATCCTAGAATAGTTGGAGGTCTATTCCTTAATTGAGGGATGTTGGAAGAGCTGCAGGGTTCTGGAGTACGTACCATAGACTGGGGCCTAGCGCAGGCCCTTTTCCCTTAATTTGTTGGGGGGGTTCAGGTTCCCTTATAGGACCCTTTAAACCAAAAAGGGCATCCGTTTTCTTCCTAAGTTACCCTTTGTTCTGGTAGATTGCTATTTGTTTTGACCTGTTCCTTAAATGCATCAGTTGATATAACAGGTTATACTTATGCCTAATTGAGAAAGACTGACTCTTTTAAAGGCCTTAATCTTAGGGTCACTTGTACGATATCTGTCACAGTACGGGGTTTATGAATAGCCATCCCTCGTCCCTGAAACAGGGTACTGCAGGGGGCCTAAATCATGACCAATGCTGTCTTCGGGGTTCCCTATTCTAGTATTATACATGTTAAAGCCCTGTTCTAGTTATTCAGGCCCCTATAGTAAGGTCTGTAATGGACAAGGGCTTGTCGCTCTTAACCCGGGGTCCATTTTCAAGGGTCATGGGACTTAGTAACTAGGGTTATAAATACGGTAGCCATACATACAATTACGTGTTTCTTATCCTAACAAGGGCACTTTTAACCTTACGTACTAAAGCCCATGATCCTCCAATTACATGGTTCACTTCGGGGTACCCACAATTTCCCTTAGTCTAGGGTCATAAAGGTAACGCGGGATTTATATCATCAACCCTAAACCCTATATAGTACTATATAGATCCTTATAAGGAGCCCCCTTAAGGTACTCTTATGGATCCTTTTACAAATCCTAAACCCTAAACCCTAAACCGCCTAAACCCTAAACCCTTAAACCCTAAGACCTATAAACCCTAAACCCTTAAACCCAAAACCCCTCAAACCCAAAACCCCTCAAACCCTAAACCCCTAAACCCCTAAACCCAAAACCCCTCAAACCCTAAACCCCTAAACCCCTAAACCCAAAACCCCTCAAACCCTAAACCCCTAAACCCCTAAACCATAAATCCCTAAACCCCTCAAACACTACAGTAGAAGCCCAAAAGTTGGAAACCCAATAGCCTCAATCCTTAAGGGTAATGTAAAGGGAATCTCAGCTCCATTTGGCCTTAATCCGGTTTCCAACTTTTTGGGGTTTACTGTAAGCCAAGCTAGGTTCCGGCGGCGGTCTTCCGGTTGAACATCCAGCAAGTGGCCGCCGGCGAGGATGCGGAGGAGGTGCCCTGCTTGTTGGGCTCCACGGGTTTAGGGTTTCAGAGTTTAAGGGTTTAGGGTTTAGGGTTTAAGGGTTTTGGGCTTAGGGTTTAGGGTTTGGGGTATAGGGTTTAAGGTTTAAGGGTTTGGGGGATATAGGTTTAGGGTTGTTGATTTTTTTGTTTTCCTTCGGTTGATGACATAAATCCTGCATGACTTTGATGCCCCAGTACTGTGGGAATTAATGAAATTGTCGCGTATTCGTTATTCTGGATAATTTTCATCATCAACCGTAGCTTCCTTATGC